CTCCTGCCCTGGACGGCCACCCGACTGGGGGAACGCTCTCGATTGCCACCTACTGTCCTCCTCGGGCACCCGCTCCTCCGCGCCTGGGGGGCGATCGGGGTTCCGCTCTTCATGGACAGCATCAGCACCTGTACAGTTGCTAGTTTGAGGCTGGTGCAGATATTCCGACACGAGTGGCTCGGCCATGGCTAATAGTCCTCTTCTCAAAGTTTGAAGAATTTTGGCTGTAAGTCCTTGAGGAAAAAAGAGGTTTTTCTTTTCCTTAAAAAAAAATGTCCAACAGAATCCACTTCGGTAATTCCTGTAGTGATGTCTTTAGCCAGTCCTGTCAGCAAACTCCAATTGCAACGTGGGGGAGGTCAAGTCAGTAAAGGGTTAAGCGCCACCGCGCGACCAGCTAGCAGGTCCAAAGGGGTGCAGCAGCAGGAAGAGTACGTAATGTGAGGAGGGGGTCGGCCTCAAGCCTCCCCGCAGAGCGCCCCCACAATGGAAGAACTGGTGGGCTAGGAGATGAGGTTAAGTCCAGTGGGTTAAACCCAGCCCCGAAGGGGTTAAAACTACCGATGACGCTGCCTCCCAGGGGCCGGACCAACAAAGGGTTAAATCCCTTGCCGCAGAGCCCACAAGGGGTTAAGGTCCCAGAGCCACCTCCTCCCACTTCCACGGGTGTCGCTCCAACCCGAGCTCCCAGTTCCTTAGGCCGGACCGGAGCCTCATCCGAGGACAGACAAACTCATCTCCCCTTTGGCTCGATGCTCTGCTCTGCTCAGCTCAGTTCTCCTCCACCTCCTCCTCTTTTCCTCCCTCCCTCCCCCCTCCCCCTTCCGACAGCTCCTCTTCCGCCTCCTCCCCCAGTTTCCCCTCCCAACTGGCCTCTGCACCTGCCAACTTCCAACTGCTGCCTCGCAGCTCTCTGCGCAGCTTTTATATAGAAGCTTGTCCGCCCCGCCCATGGGCATGCGTAATGGGGTCCCTATTGCAGGAAGCTGGGACTCGTAGTTTCCATCTTTCGGGCCCGCCGTCCTCACGCGCCGTGCGACGTAGCCAATCCCAGGACGCGTAGGGGGCGCTTTCCAGGCCACCTCCCTCCATCGCTTAACCCTCGCTGGCAAAACGTGAGTGACCATTGGTCGATAGTCACACGTATCACGAAGGAAGGAAAACCAATGCAGAGAAGATGGGGCGGGCTCTGGACCATACCATTCTGCTTTAGGAATACGAGAAGATTCGATTGTCTCTGAGGGACCACACAGAACATTTTAATGAAAAGGTGCGTCTTAAAACCTGCTATGGTATACTATCTTCAGCGGAAGGGTTCTGAAGGTCATAAACATTTGTTAACCGAAGCAAAAAATGGTTTATTCCTAAAAAGTAGTCCCTAAAGTGTAAAAGAAAAGTAAATCTTACAAGGAGAGATGTTGGCCCGTGGCTGGTAACTTTCCATTCTTAAGATTACAGAAATGGTTTCAAAGTGTGTCTCTAATGCCTGGGACTGACGTTTGCGGACGGATATTGTGAACACATTCTGTTAAAAAAAAAAAGCGCATGAAGAAGTAAACAAATAAAGAATAAAAAGTGCCGCCTTAAAGGGACAGTGTGACTACGTTAGCACAGCAACTTCGGACTAGGCCTCAGATGATAAGGCAGGTTCGAGTCCCGAGTGACGGCCACCCTCAGACCGGTCTCGAGACCTATGGGCGAAAGTGAATGAGATCCAGCCCCATTGTAGCCTTTCAGTGCCGCCGCTGCCCCAGCAACCGGTGCAAAATGGTGGGCCAGGACTGAGCTCGTCTGGGCTGGGATCCGGGAAGCGCTGGGTGAGCGCCAGAGGCTCCCTGGAAACCCCAGGCAGGAAGGCCTGGCCCGGGGGCCTCATATTCTATCGAAGAAAATGGCCTCCTGAGGCTGACTTGGTCTGTTCACTTCAAAGCCCACCAGGAGCATTCCAGAGATGGACAGGGGATTCTGGGCCAGCTGATCAACCTCGCTGTTGGGGAGGGGTACGAAATTAATAAGTTTAAGTAACCAATCCTGGCTAAGAGAGAAGGGGGTACTGGGGCTCTTCCTGGTCAGTGGGTACTGGGCAACACCCGGAGAGAGCCAGAGGTTCCCCCAAAGACGAGGTGTTACCCAGAAATGGGTGCAAGGGGGGGGGGGGTTGGCCCAGGACAGTGGTGTAGACTCATGGGGAGATGGGGGAAAGACTTGTTCTTGAGAATATTCTCCAGATTCCATGCATCTGCCTGAAGGACAGGGCCTAGTAGTAACCCAAACCCTAATAATTTAGGCCTAAAATCCATTCTAATCTTAACTGCTTCTTGCCACACACCTAGTAACCCAATCTTATTATTTTTTCCTTAATAGCAATGGCTGACAGTCCAGCTACTTTTCACTGTATAATGTACTTTTACCACAGAACCATTTGACCCCACCACAGCCCAGTGAGTAAGGATAGAAATTATTGTCTCCATTTTAGAGATAGGAAATCTCTAAGACTAAGAGAAATTAAGTGACTTATCCAAGGTCACTTGACAACTAAGTGGCAGTTCTGGTTAGTGTGAAGGTCTTTGTGACCCCCGTGCCATTTTTCTTTGTCACAAACACAAAATTCCTCCCCCTCCCAAGAACTCTAGATTTAGTTCCTTTTCATTCCTAACAGCTTCAGCATAATTCAGTCTATTTCTCCATTTAGCAAAGATTTGTTAGGAAGCATGATGATGAATAACTCGTCCTTGCTGCTCATGGACTGTGTAGAGAGGCCATCAAACCACAGTGAGCCAAAATGGCAGGTGACAACAACCACATAGGAGTTTGTGAACCAAGCTGCTTAGGAGTTGACAATTGTGTACATGTTTCAAGGGGAAGTGACTTATTGACTGTTTCTGAAGGATGAGTCGTTTTCAGGCAAAGTGGCATAAAGAAGAGCATTCTAGCCCTGGTCAGTGTGCTCAGTGGTTAGAGCACAGGCCCACACACCAGAGGGTCTTGGTTCAATTCCGTCAAGGGCATGTGCCTGGGCTGCAAGTTAGATCCTTGGCCCCAGTTGGGATGTATGCAGGAGGCAACCAATGGATGTGTCTCTCTCACATCAATGTTTCTCCCTCCATCCCTTCCTCCCTTTTACTTTCTCTAAAAATCAACGGAAAAAATATCCTCAGGTGAGGATTAACAAAAAAGGGTGGAAGGGGGGCATTCTATGAAGAGCAAGCATCATGTTCAATGAAAGGATTTGACTGGGAATTCAAGAGTGGTTCTATGAGAAAGTGGTGATGGCATGCCCAAAGGGAGAGGCAAGCAAGTACCTCCTGGGCACAGCCAGGTGTTTTGAAATTGACCCCTCCAGCCTGTTTTCCTTGAGCTTTCAAGAACTCAGATCGATCTGAAAAACCTATCTTCTGTGCTGCTTCATCAGTCAAACAGGAGGCTCTTCAGGAGCTACTGACATCTTATTTGTTACCATGTTTTCAGACTCCAGAGGACTTGTGGGTACCCTCAATCAGGGGATTTGGTTCCATAGCTGAACCCAGCCTCAGTTTACTGGACAGGGCTCAGCTGTATGGACTTATTTGTCATGTTGGGGGAGGGGTGCCCAGACTAATAGGTTGTGAAATTCTAGAATTCTGTCAAACAGGAGACCAGGCACCTATTTGAGTTTTAACCCTCTGCCAGGCATTTTACATGCCCTGGTCATTTAAACCCAAGACTGCCTTATGATAAAGAGATCACCATCCTTATTTCACAAACAAGGCAACCCAGGCTCAGAGCAATTAAGATCTTGTCTTGCCCAAGTCACACAATGTGTGCAAGTGGTGGAGCTGGCTTCCGTTCCACCTGCACCCCCAGCACCAATTTTGTCCCTCTCCCACTGCCCTGCTGTTGCCTCTCTGCTTGTAACCCTGAGCTAACTGTGGAGCAGAAGGGCCCATGTGTCTGTTCTGAAAAATACCACCTTGAGAAAAAGACTGAGGGTCAAAGAGTGACCCTAGCTTCCAGTGGGGAGGATGGGCAAGGCCAGGGGTTGACCCAGGTAACTCAGGAGTTTAAGGGTCTCTAAGAAGGGGCTTTCAGAACTAGCTCTATCTCACCCAGGAGGAGGAAGGTGCTGGGCCCAGGTGGTGACAACTACAGAGAGTTCAAGGCTGCTGCAGCCCTCCACAGATGGGGACCTTGGCCAGTGGTCTCTGAGGCGCCAACACGGCCTGGACGACAGGGCTGGTGCTGACCAGAGGAGGGCCAAAGTTGCCACGCGGTGAGAAAAATAAATTCAGTGCCCGCGCAGCCAAGCAGGAGCCAGAAGCCGGCATCAACCGGAGGTCTGTGCCCATTCAGGCGTTCTGCCCACCCGAACAGGGGGATCCCCTCTCATGTCCCGGCTCCAACGCCCAAGGGTGGGGCGGGGAAAAGGCTCCCTCTTGGTCTTGGCCTTCCAGAAAATTCCCTGGGAAAGCCTGAAGGCGGGGGTCACGGGAAGGGGATGCAAGGAACGAGCAGCTGAGGGGTAAGCGGCCAATGGGCACTTCCGAAGGGTCGCGACCCCAACCCTACGCGCCCAAGGCGGGGAGCAGGGAGCAGCTACCCTGGTCTTCGGTGGTGACAACTGGGTGGGGACGGACCAACGCCTGGCTCCCGCTGCCCCCCGCCCCCCTCCGGGAGGACCCAGCTCTTGGCCCCCATCCCCGGTGGGTGTGGCCCGGGCCTCTGCCACCAACGCTCCGGCTCCAGCCCCACCCCTCCCGGGACACCCGGATCCCCTCGCCTTTCCTGAAGAGTCCAGTTGGGTGTTCCCTTCACTGGTCCACGGAGGAGGGACAATCCTCCTCTCAGAAACACCGCGCGCTGGCCTCTCCGGCTGTCCGAAGGGGCATGGGTAGGAGGGAGTAGGAAAGGGGCTGTGCCTCACGCGCTCCTGACTCAATTTCCGCCTCATTTCGTAGACGGCAGAAGATTAAGGTTTTGTTTTATTTTATTTAGTGAAACATTCATTTGTAAGTGAGTCTTCAGTGATGACGTCCTGAGTGTGTGTGGAGAGAGGAAGGCTAGCAAACGGAGCTCACGCCCCTCCCCCGGGGCCAGCTCTCTCTGCCTTCCCCCAACTTGGCCGGGCCTCCCGGCCTCCCTCCCAAAGCCTCCCAGCCAACCAATCCCAGGAACCGGCTCAAGTCCCAGCCTGCCCCAGAGCTGAGCCTCCAAGGGGAGAGGCTGGGGTGGGAGAAGAGTCAGGTGATCCAGGGGTTGAAGAGGGCAGAGGCTGAGGCCAGCAGCCCCGCCCCCGAGTCACCAGCCAACCCAGAACCCCGAACGTGCACCAAAACTGCAACCTTCCAAAGAAACCGGGGATGGTTTGGGGCGGGGGGAGCTTGGGGGTGGGAGAAGCACCCTAGTAAAGCTGCAGGAAAGGGTGGGGTCTTATCCCCTCCCACGTTAGGGGAGGGGTGCCAAGGCAAACACTGATTGGTAGTGGTGGTGGTAGCGGGTGGGATTAATGCTGTTCTCCTAAACCCTAGGAAGGCTCAGGGCACAGCAGGACAGGGGCACACAGCCGCCTCCGTTGGCTGTAGAGATTCCTCCATTGAGAGTCACCTCTTCTGGGTCCGAAACTGTCTGACCAGCCACTGGACAATGAAGGGCCACAGGAGGAAGAAGAGCAGCGTAGGACCTGAGAGCCTGAGGGGCCATGGCCGAGCACTGGATGGCGGCCTCTGTTGCTAAAAAGGAGGGAGGGAGTCAGAGGCCAGCCCAGGCCTCAGTACAGGCTGGGCCCTCCTTAGGAACCTGATGCCAGAACTCAGTGGGAGCTTCCACTTCCTTAAGGTTGTGAGGACTGGAGCAGAGAAGCCCTGCCCTCATATCTGCGCCACTAGAAGGGAAGGGATCCTGGGGTTCCTAGTGTGTCCCTGACAGATGAGCTCCAAACTCACTCCCCATCCTCCTCCCAGGGCAATCCCAGGTGCCAAGAGGACTGGAGGCTGGAGGGGGCGCCAAGTGGAGGGATTGGCTTCTAGGCTGTTTCCTCGGCCACAAAGCAATGACCTTGTTGGTGTGGCCTTAAGACCCTCATATTGTAAAGGATGTGCCACATATTTCAAATGAGGAACCTGAGTGCTAAGATTTTAGTCTCTAAATATTCTTTGCTTAAAGGATCCAGGGCTCAGCAGGTGACTGTGGGACACTGGTGCCAGAAAGCAAGGAAGCTTATAAAGATTAATGAGGTCAGGATAGGACCCAACCTGAAAGGGTCTCCACTGACCAAAGTTGTGACAATCTGAACATCAAAAAGAATGATGGTTGCAGTTGATTGAAATACTGAATCTTTAAAATCCACGAGTCCACATTGATACTCAAAAAAAGAGAGAGAGAGAGAGAGAAAGCTGGAAATTTGTCACCATTGAGATGGTTGCTAAATCAACTTCTTACTTTAAAAATAGATAAAGAGAATTAAGCACATATGCTGCTTTTTCTTAAGGCACTGTATTTCAGGGAAATCCTAGATGATCAAGGAAACTACAGGAAAATAACAGCTCATAAATTTTAAAGGAATAATAGAATTTAAAAGTAAACTTTTTTTGCAACCACTAAATAAATTATCGATTAGGCAAGAACTATCAATTTGTGTCAAAACCTATATGACAAATGGGGTGGACAGGGAACCGGGAATACCCTGGTTGCAAAAGAAAAACATGACTTTACAATGGTGGGACCAGACTGTAACCCCTTTATCCATGCTATAGTGGTCCATGTTAGAATCATTAATGGCAGGCTATCGATATGTGTCCCCTAATGTGAAGAACATCACCTCTGATGAAATCTGGTTATGTAAACTAGCCACCAGGATGTAGATAGACCCAAAATGTGGAACATTTCTACAGGACCACTGGCTGAGTCTCATTAGCAACTCAGTAGCAAGGGAAAGGGACTGGTCTGAATTAAAAGTCTTAAAAGAACAGAGCAGCTGGCAAAGGCACTTTTGGGAGAACTGGAGAGATTTGAATTTGGATCAGCTATTTGATGATATGAAGGAATTATTGTATGTGATAAAATTAGGTAATAGAATGTTCTTATTTTTAGAGATGCAAACGCAAGTATTTCAGGGTGGAAAACTTTAAAATCTTCAGGATATAAAATTAGTAAAAGTTAAACAAAATTAAAAAGCTGGGGGGAGGTGGTGTTGAAATGTTAGCCACTGTGGATATGAGGAAATTCCTGCCACCCTGGTTGATATTCACTGTGCCAAGGAGATTAGGGGTCATCCAAGTGACCACATCCAGCAACTCAGCCCTCGCCTGTCCCCACTACCCCAGGCTTCTCAAGAACAGACCCACTCAAGAGTTAATGGTGGGTGCCATCTTTGGAGGGAGATAGACCTAGGGCCACTCCCAGCTCCATCACTTAATGTTAATAATACTAATAATAACAATGAACACCATTCCAGGAGGTCTTTGTGTGTGTTGGGCACTGGGAAGTACCTGCATACATTATGCTATCTAATCCTCACAGCACCTCTATGAGGATCTTCCAGGCTGTGTGCTCTCAGGTAAGTTACTCAACCTCTCAGAGCTTTAGTTTCTTCTTCTGTAACAGGGAAATGAAAACCTATATCATAGGGTTGTTGTGTGGATTAAGTGAGATAATGTAATGGTATTTGGCACACAGCTGGGACTCCAGAAATGGCAGAAGCTGAGGTGGAAGGGGCAAGCAGATCTTGGAGTCGAGGGGAGGGAGTGAGGAATGCAAGGGCTGAATTGTTTTGGAGTAAACCCGAAGACTGAGAACACAAGTCCTAACTAGGGACAACAGGGACCCTCCAGCCCCAATGCAAAGAGCAGACATCCTGGCCCTTCCAACTGTTGGAATTACTCCTCCCTCTCAGTGTCTCTTCAGGCAAAGGGAAGTAAGGGCAGAAAAAGAGGGCCCTTCTCACTCTCCCTTCCAGGAGGAAGCAAGCACTTCAGATCCCCTGAATTCTCTGCCTGTGACGTGAGTCACAACATTCTCTGGAGGAGGCAAAGGTGTGGGCAGGTATGGATGTGGGGACAAAGAAGTGGCTGGATGAAGAGCCTAACACAGAGACCTTCAGAGTCCTGCCCCACTCTTGCCCTGGGCCTTGGGGGGCTCACCTGCTTGGGGGGGGCAGGCATGCTCTCCAGGCTTTGCAGTCTCCCCTGGACATCCCGCATGCTCTCCTGCAGTGCTCGCACTGTCCTCACCAGCCATGAGTCCAGTTCCTGGGGCCCCAGCAAGCTGCCTTTTAATCCCTCTGTGAAAAACAGACACATAGGGCAGAGAACTCAGGAAGCAGCTCAGCTAGGGGAAGGGTGGTGGCAGGCTGGGGCAGGTCCAGGAGAAAGTAAGAGTGGGACGCAGTCCCTTGTACCAAGTGTGACTTTTGTAAAGTCCATTCACATATGGCTGAGTAACAGGCTAGCTGTATGATTTTGGGCAAGTAAGTAACTTCTCTGAGCCTCATTTTGTCATCTGAAAATTAGGAGATGCCATCTCCCTCACAGGGCTGGTGGCTCAAAGGAATAAAGATGATATTTATGAAAGTGCCCTTTATGGGACATGGCACACTGGAAGTTATAGAAGAGGATAGGGCAGAACTCACTGTTGTCCTTTGAGAGTCCCACATGGGAGGTCCAGAGAGAGAGAATGACTCCCAAAGCCATGTAGCTGTAGCTATGGGGGGGGGGGGGGGGGGGCTAGCACTTCCTGCCCCAGCTGCCCTTACTCAGTGCCTGATGGCTCCTGATAGCTCTCAGGGAGAGAAGGCCAGGCAAGGACTTTGTATCTGGCTGTTTGGCAATCCTTCCTGGGCAGAGGCTGCTCTCTCCAATTCCCAGAACTGGACTTTCATCTCTTCCCCCAAGAGGGCAGCCAAGGGATGGCCATGGGCAAGGGATGAAGGGGGGTAAGGGTCAAGCAGTGATTCACCTTTCCCTGTCGGGGGCACGGGGCTGTTTCTGGTGTCAGGCTCTCCTCCAGGGGTACCCATCTGCTCTGCCCAAACCTGCTGAGATGAGTCATAAGGTCCAAGGGGAGCAGTGGGAGCAGCTTGGGCACAGTGGGGTGGGAAAGGGAGGGTACAAGGGGTTATCTCACCAGCTCAGGCTCCAGCTGCTCCAGGGAATCACAGAAAACCTCGGAGTCCAGGTCCCTGGGTGGCTGAGACTCTGGGGAGCATGTAGGTAGGTTAGTAAAAGAGGGAGGCAACGGAGGGAGAGGAGGAGTGTAGAACCCAGCAGAGGCACCTGTTCAGGGGACAATAGAGAAACTGCCACAAGAGGCAACAGATGGACCCCAGAAGTGAGGCCCTGGAACAGAAATGCCAGAAACTTCCTCCTGGTTTCCCCTGGAGCCTAGGAGGTCTCTGTCTGTGGGCATGAGGTATGATGGGCACAGCATGGCATTCAGCCTTCTCCCCTTCACCACACCTGGAGGTCTCCTCCAACCCTGGCCTGCATTTGGCCCTCTGCCTTCCTGCACAGCCACTAACCTGGGCTTGTGGGTGCTGGTTCCTTGGGGAGGCAGGGAGACTCTGGGGCAGCCCCAGCATCTCCATTCAGTACCTGCTCCTTCCAACCTGCAGAGACACAGCACCCAGGATTGGGGCTGGAAAGAGGTTGGTGCCTCCCAGTGAGCTCAGATCTCTGTTCCCCATTAGGGGCAGTGGCTGGGGTCCTTACATTGACATCACCTGGAGTCCTCTGCCCCTGGGCCCCCCTCCAACTGAGCAGCCCCCTCAGCCTGAACCTGACAGTTCACTCAGCACCTGCAGAGCTCCCATTTGGGGGCCTGACCTGTGACTCTTTTCAGGAAGGTTTCCGGGGGCCTCGGCATGTCAGGGATCACCTGGTACAGAGGCTCAAAGTAACCAAACATGTCATCTGCTACCTCACCCAGAGGCACTGTATCGATCACCTGTAGAGGATAAAGTTTACTGGGGGGTATCTGGCCCCTTCCACCCCTCCCGCCCCTCCCCTCCTATCGCTTTGTGCTGGGCCCCCTCCATCTTGCTTCTGTCATCATACACTCCACCTTGTGCCTAACCAGAGACCAGAGACAGATTTAGGGGGACAGCATGAAGTTGGTAATTCCCGTGGGGTGTCAACATGCAGGAAACAAATGGGAACAGCAATGGAAGGGTAGGGGACAGGCCACCTGGCTGGGAGCTTGGGTACAGAGAGGAGGCCACAGCCTATCCCTACCTTCTGTGCCACCACCTTCATCTCAGTGATGTAGGCAGACATGGCCTCCTCCCTACTCATCTTGCCCAGGCTGTTCCAGGCATCCCTGGGGGCAGAGAGCTGTGAGAGGCTGGTTGACCAGCACAGGCTTGTTTGCCCAGCTAGTGGGGAGCTCACCACTTATATCGTCCAATGGGGTCCCAGAACCCAGGCCGGGGAACAAGGCAGGGCCCCATGGTAGCCTGCTTGTAGTAGCTGTAGAATCGAAGCATCTCTTCATAGGAAGGGCGGTAATAGCCTGGGCAGGAAGTTGGAGAGTGGATGGCAGAGCATCACCCTCAGCTCCAAGAGGATGGAGGTGAGGGGAAACCACCCTAGGAGAGGGCAGAGATGGTGAGGGGTCTACCAGGGGTGGGAGGTAGAGGGGACCCACTGGGCAACCTAGGCAGAGACTTGTCTGCAAAAACGGAAGGGATCAGTGCATCCTGGGAGGCAGACCCCAGCCATCTTGACCCCCAAATTCAGGTCCTCATGCCCTCACTCACTGTTCTTGGGCAGGTTCTGAATGACTCGGACCGCGGCCTGGAACTGTTCCTGGCAGTCCGGTTCTGGGATTTCTTTCTCAGTACCCATATCCAGCTGCGCCGAGCCCTGGGGCCCTACTTTTGTGCACTCTGCAAGAACAAGTCTCCGTGTGAGCAGTCCTCCAGGGTCCACCCCGGCACACACCTCGGTAAGCCACGGATCCACTTTCCAGGGGAGCAAACTAAGCTCTTTGGAGGCCGGAGTGAGATACCCGGGGAGGTCAGAAGCTGTGGCTGAAGAGACCCCTTTTTCTACCCCAAGGCAGCGTAGGTGAGGCGGGGGTGGGTGGAGTGGACCTCGGTGGGTGGGTGGAGAGGCCGATGGTAAGGGGTCGCAGTGCCCCTCTAGACGCGCATCTCCAACTCCTAGAGAAGCTAGTGGGCAAGCCAAGAGGAGTCAGGCGGGCGAACAATCCTCCCACCCCGAACCTCGCACCCCTGCTCGGCAGCCCGGCACTCACCCTGCAGATCCCCCTGCCCGGACACCTGGGTCCTCTCTCGCCACTAGCCGAAGGCTTCCTACTGACCTCCCGGCCCAGTCTGGCCGGAATGGGAACGCGAGGCGAGGGGATTTTAAGCCAATGAGAGAGCTCGTTTCAGATTCGGCTTCTATACCCCAGCCACTCAGCGCGGCTTTTTCAAGATTATGCAAATAGTTAGCTCTGCCTCTCCCAATCAGGAGGGGTGAATCTGGTGGTCGACTACCCTACCCTGGACTGCCAGAGGCGGGCGGAAGCGCCTCCTGGTGGACATAGTGAAATAACACTAAGTACTCGCGCCCCCTGGTGGAAATCGGCGTCTGTCAGCTGAACTCAAGTCTCTTCCGGCACTTACCAGTCGCTGTAGCTAAAATAGGGGTCATACCCTGGGCAGTGTGGCTCAATTGGTTGAGCATGGTCCCATACACCGGGTTGCGGGTTGGATTCCCGGTCAGGGCACATACCTAGGCTGTGGGTTTGATCCCTGTAAGAGCGCATGCCGGGGCAACAGATTGATGATCTCTCTCACATGATGATCTCATATTATTTCTTTATAAAAAAAAATCAATGAAAACATATCCTCAGGTGAGGATTTAATAATAATAACAATAACAATAACAATAATAATAATAAATAGGGAGCCATGTCCTGTGGTCATGAGTTCTGGAGGAGCAGCTCTGGAGGAGGAACATCGCAACTGAGTTTTTAAAGGCTTAAGAATAAGCTGGAGTAAGTCTCTCCAAGGTTGTGGGTTTGATCTCCTGTCAGGGCACGTTGAAGAATCAACCAATGAATGCATAAATAAGTGGAGCAACAATTTCTCTCTTTCTCCCTCTCTTTCTCTCTCAAATCAATAATAATTAGAGTAAGCTAGGAGCCCTGGCCAGTTTGGCTCAGCGGTTGAGCGCCGGCCTGCGGACTAGAGAGTCCCCGTTCGGTTCCGCTAGGGGCGCGTGCCACCAAAAAAAAAAAAACAAAACAAAAAAACAGTAAGCTAGGAGAAGAATGAGGAAAGTCATTCTGGAGGAAGAAATCTCAGGATCAAAAGTGCGGAGGTCACTGGCCAGTTTGGCTCAGAGGTTGAGCATCGGCCCGCGGACCAGAGTCCTGGGTTGGGTTCCAGCTAGGGGCACGTGTCACAAAAAACAAACAAAACAAAACAAAACAAAAAAACCAGGGGCTCTGGCCGGTTTGGCTCAGCGGTTAGAGCGTCTGCCTGCGGTCCAGAGAGACCCGGGTTCGTTCCCGCTGGGGGCACGTACCTCGGTTGCAGTTTGTCCCCGGCCCTGGTTAGGTCGTGTGGTTGGCAACCACTCGATGTGTCCCTTTCACGTGGATGTTTTCTCTCTCTCTCCCTCCCACTCTATCTAACAAAATATCGAAAAATGTCCTCGGGTGGCGCAACGGTTAGAGCGTCAGCCCTAACCAAAGAGTAGCGAGTTCAAACCAAAGAGTATGGAGTTCAATTCTGGTCAAGGGCAAATACCTCGGTTGTGGTTCTGTCCCCCGCCCTGGTCGGGGTCGTGTGGGATGCAGCCAATCGTGCGTCTTTCTCACATCAAAGTTTCCTTCTCTCTCTCTCTCTTTACTCCTCCCTCCCACTCTGACTGAAGATAAATGGAAAAATATCCTTGGGTGAGGATTTAAAAAAAAAAAATGCAGAGGCCGCCCTGGCCGGTTTGGCTCCCTGGTGAGAGCATCCGCCCAGGGTTTCCAGGCAAGGGCACGCACGGGGCAGGTCGTGGGTGAGGCAACCAATCATTTCTCTCTCTCACGTTGATATTTATCTCTCTTCCTCCCTCCCCCCCTCTCTAAAAATCAATGGAAAATTATCCTGGGGTGAGAATTAACAATAACAAAAATGCAAAGGCAAGACTTGACATTCAGAAAGACTATTCTGAGAGGGGTGAGGATCCAAACCAGCATGCGGAGTTGAGATAGCTGAGAATGGGGTACAGCCTGGGCCAAGTAGTTGGCAAATCTAGGTCCTGATATACCCTCTTGGTCGCTGCCGAATGGCGGCGTGCAACCAGCTCCTCGCCCGAACCCAGGACACTTGAGACAGACAACGTGTGCACACACGCAGAGACCTGTCCCTCCTACTCTTCATGAACACATATGCAGGTGGTTTTATATATAGTAAGTGTACACACATCACTAGAACCCACACTCGATGCTTATCCACGGTTGATGTCACGGACATCTACACAGTATACAGCGGCTGTCCCAGGATGATCAAGCCTCAAACCCCCAGAACCCAGTCCCGCCGGCGACTGTAGACTTGAAGCCACCCTATCGTCTTTTAATTTTTTTTTTTTTTTTTTTACAGAGCGGGAGGGAGAAAGAGGAAGAGAGAGAGAGAGAGAAACATCGATGTGAAGGGACACATCGAGTGGCTGCCACCCGCACGACCAACCAGCAACCAGGGCTGGGGACAAACTGCAACCGAGGTACGTGCCCTCAGCGGGAACCGAACCCGGGTCTCTCTGTACCGCAGGTCGACGCTCTAACCGCTGAGCCAAACCGGCCAGGGCCACCCTATCGTCTTTATACCATTCAGCTTCGAGACTTCTACAACTAAGGAGTTGGCACCTGGCCAGGTGCAGAGAGGGTTAATCCTATGAAGTCACAGCAATACCCTTCCTACCCACCCACCACTTCTGGCTCCCCCACTCCTCGGGTTCGGGCTGCCCTGCCCCCCGGCTCAGCCCCCAGGTCCCTATTGGTCTTTCCGGGACCCAGTACTCCTGGCCCGGGACGAGCCGCCCTGCAGACCCTTTCCCCTGCCTGGCTCCCTTCTGAGGCCCCCTGGTGGGACTGGAGGAGAGGGTGGGGAGGGGTCCTGAGTCCGCACTGAGTTCAGGGTCCAGGGAAAGGGGTTTTGAGGGAGGGCAACCCGCGCCGCCTCCAGTGCCCTTAATGGAGGTTCAGGTCAGCGATGAGGCTGGGATCCGAGGATCGTTTGGGAATGGGGACCCATGAGCAGGGGGTGAAAGCGGAGACTGGGGGAGGGGGAACTCGGATCGGCCCCCTCCCCAAACTTAGGGGAGGGACCAACTGCGGGTCTGGAATCACCACCCCTTCTCCGCCCTCCTCGAGCCTCTCCCGAGGCCCGCCCCCTCCATCCAAGTTCCTCCTTCCCAGAATCTCGTCCCTCCTCTCTCCCTCCTCCCGGCACTTACTCCTCCCGACTCCCTCCCAGCGCCGCTAAGTTTCTGCGCTTGCGAACGCGCAGAGCAGGGGCCGCGCCAGAGCGGCGCCCACTGTCCTGTCCCCGCGCGCTGGTCCGGGTCCCGGCCCCCGCCCCGGCCCCGGCCCCCCGCCCCCCGAGGCATGCTGTGTGGCCGCTGGAGGAGCCGCCGGCGCCAGGAGTCTCCGGTGCCGGCCCAGGTCGCAGCGTCGGTCGCGCTCCCGCCCCCATCCGCACTCCAAGACGGTGGCACCAAGAGGCCCAGGCTGCGGGCGCTGAAAAAGATGGGTCAGTGACCGGTGGGGGCGGTTCGGGTGGGCAGGTACTGTCCCCACGGCGCAGCCTGGGAGGGCCGGGGTGTTCTGGCGAGCCCTTAGGGGGCTTCCCAGGCTGCATGGGGTTGTGGGGAGTATGGTGAGGCATGAAATGCCAGCACCATTCCAGCCGGGGGTCGTACCAGCGGTCACCTGAGGTCCCCGGGCCCAAGCTTGGCGCGTAGGATGGCCTTTGTTTCCCACCAGGAGGCGCCCGCGGGGTGTGCTGGAGTGGGGGTTTGGGCGAGGGGTACGGATTGTGAGTCCCTGAGGGCCCGGAGAGTGGAGTGGGAGTAGGACTGACTAGCTGGTTGAATGGCTTGAAAGACAGGGGTGTATGTGTGAAAGTACTTTGTAAAATGTAAAGTACTATGAAACGTGTATGGGAACTGCTGTTAGTAGAATAGTTAATAATGGAGAGACTGTGTGGGGTTGAGGAAACAGAAGGACAGGGCTGCCCGGGAGACCTGTGTGAATCTTGGGGCAGAATTCAGGGGTCCTGATTGCCAGTCTTGCTTTCCCTTTGCCACTGCTCTCTACCCCCTTGTTCTTACTCTTACCTCCTCTCACTCATTCGACCTGAATTTATTGAGCACTACGTTCTGAGCCACATGCCTAGCATGTTCCTTATGCAGACACAGGATGTGATCTCCCTCCATCAAGCATGCATGCATTCAACAAACATTCACTGAGTGTCTATAGTGTGCTCTGCCCTGGGGATTCAGCAACGAACAGGACAGACCCGGTCCTGGCCCTCAGAGAGCTGAGCATCAGGAAGGAGGTCAGACAATGATTAACAAAGAAATAAGACTAGGAAAGGAGGGGGCAAGTGAGATGCTGGGGAACTAGTGAGGGCCTGGCTGTACCCCAGAACCACAGACTGGAGTGAGGCAAAAAGAGAAAGACAGGTAGGGCCAGATCTTCAAGGCCCCCCTTTGTAGAGTTAGGGACTTTCCTTGGAGGGCAGGAGTTGAGCCCAGTAGGGTTGGGTTGGACAAAAGCTGGGGTGAAACAGGGATACCCATAGGAGGGAGGCTGAGGGGTCAGTTGGGCAGACAGACTTGGGCTGGGGTAGCTGAGATGGATTCCAGAACCACCTAGAATGTAGAATGGGCTGGACTGCGCAGTCGGTGAGATTGGAAAGGCGTCTCTGGTGGATGGCAGTATTCTCTGGGCTAAGGAGCGGTAGTGGTTTGGGGAGAGGAGGAGAGCCATGGGGAGTTGAGGTGCCACTGAGACAACCAGAGGAGTCAGCCACTCACAGGGGTTCTGGGTCCCGGGGAGGGCAGAGGTGTTGCCCTGCACACCTGTCTGCCTTTTCATTCCATACATGTTTGCTCAGCCCCATCTGCGTGCCAGGGGCTATGGAGATAACACAGTGTCTTGCCCTCAGGGAGCACACAGTTTGGTGGCAGGAGACACTTATAGGCAAATAATTACAGTTGAGCCTAGGCTGAGTAAAGGTGCAGGGGAGCTCCAGGCACTCGATCACAGTGACTCTGTCAGGAACTATGTGGGTGTCAGAATGTCGTCTGGCTGCCCTTCCTCCTCACACTGCCTTGTCCTGCTGAGTGATTGCTGAAAGAATGTCCAGTGTATGAGGAAGGCCCCTTCCCCAGGCCTCACTGAGTCCAGGGACAGGTGGAGAGGAAACCCAGGTATCATGGGGCCTCGCCCCTCAGGCTATCCATACCGAGGCCAAGACTCACCACCAGGGTGGCCCTGAGATGACCATCTTGGCCATAGAGATGGCCGACAGAGAACAGATTATATTTCAGAGCAGGTCAAGAGATAAACTAGGGCAGGGAGCGGCTCAGAGATCACAGGCTCAGAGTGGCCATGGAAAAGAGAGGGCCTTTAGGACCATACAGGGGGAAACCAGGGGGGGGGGGGGCAGGAATGGCTGCCTACGTGGAGTGGGAGTTATTTGTGGAGCCTGGGGTCCCTCCCCCGTCCCTGCCCCAGGGAAGGCTGCTGGCTTAGCCTGCCCCCAGAAGCCAGGGAAGAGTTGAAGAGAGAAGAGGAGCCTAGTGAGCACCTGCGACGGGCCGGTCACAGTGCTGAGCCTGTATCAGCCCGGATCCCACTTAATCCCCAGTGCTCCTGAGGGGAAGGTGCTGCTACTGTCCTCACATTACAGATGAGAAACTTGAGGTGAGCGGGGTGAAGTCACTGGCCCAAGTCCACACAGCCTCTGCCTGCCTGCTGCCAAAGCCTAGTGTTCAATGATGGCTCTTTATTGCCAGAATGAATTAATACTAATTAACACCTCTATAATACTATGCCAAGGCATTTCACATAGCTCATTTAATGCTCACAATCATATGAGGTAGGTGGTACTATGCGCCTCATCTCGAAAATGAGGAAACTGAGCCCGGCCAGTGTGGCTCAGTGGACTGAGCGTCGTCCCATGGACTGAGAGATCTGGGTTCGAATCCCAGTCAGGGCACATGCCTGGGTTGTGGGCTCCATCCCCATTAGGGGGTGTTCAGGTGGCAGCTGATCAGTGTATCTCTCCCACATTGATGTTTCTATCTCTCTCTCCCTTCCTCTATCTTTAAAAAAATCAATAAAAAACACATTTTAAAAAAAGAAAATGAGAAAACTGAAGTTCAGAGAGGTTCAAAGTTGGGAAGTAGCTGAGGGAGGATATGAACCCAGGCAGTCTGGCTCAGAGTCCGAACTCAGAACACAGTGAATGAATGAATGAGTGAGTGATTTTTGCTTGGGGAGGGCTTCTCCTCCTCAGTGGCCCTGCCAGCTTCCAGGGGTGCTCTCATAGGATTGCCAAATAAAATACAGGATGCCCAGTTAAATGTGAATTGCAAATAAACAATGAGTAATTTAGGACAACTTATACTAAAATATCATTTGTTGTTTATTTGAAATTTAAATTTAACTGGGCATCCTGAATTTTATCTGACAACCCTGTCTCCCCAGAGACCCTGTCTGACTCTGTGCCTTTAACGCTCCACCCTGTCACTAATCCTCCCAGTGAGCAGAGCAGAGTGGGCAGAATCCTGCTCCCTGCCCTCCCCAGCCTGTGCACACCACCAAGTGCCACAGGGCAAGAGGGCTCTCCTGATGGCCTGCCCAGGATGTCTCCTGCGGGGTGAGTGGGCTGCCCTGGGTGGGTGCTGGCAGGTGCCTGGCCTGGTGGTGGGGAGAGCAAGGCAACCCTCCTGGCTAAACAGGAGCATGTCAGGCAGGACTGGGGGTCTGGCTCTGTCATGCCTTGTGTCCCCCCTCTCCCACCACCTCTTTTCCTTCTTCAGCTCTGGGAAGCAACCTCCCCCAACCTCTGCCCTTATTCATATTTCGTGGCTATTCTGCCCCGGCCTGAAAGGGTGCTACCACCTTCATCTCTGTCCCACCCAAGGGCAGAGAAAGTACTGCCTGCTTTTCCTGTCTGTTGATTCTCCGAGGAATGTTATGGACTCTGGCTCTGAGCTCTGCTGGGCTCTAGCCCTGGGTGTGGCAGGTCAAGGAGGGCAAGCTTGGTCCCTGGGGTGCTGGGGCTGCCTGCTGGCTAGAGGATTTGGGTGGGAAGGTGTTTGGGAGCCCTCGCCAGTTATGCGTCCCCTCCCAGAGCCTCATGACCCCAGCCACCAGACTCCCCTCCCCCATTGGCATGAAGGTGTCGGCTGTCACTGTTCCCTGCATGTCTCACATTCCTGCTGGAGCCCCATGTGCCTTTCCTGAGTGTGCACTGGCGCATGCGCGCGCACACACACACACACACCAGTGCACACACCCTGTATGTACACACCACTCCACACACACTCCCACTGGAGACCTACCACTCCTTTCACACCCTGCTCTCTGCACCATACCCTTCTGTTTACATGCCCCTTTACCACACAGCTTATCTAGTCACCTGTCAGTGGACAGCCGGGTGGTTTCCACCTTTTGACTATTATTTGTCCTCATTTTTACTGCTGCTATTTCATGATTATTCCTCCACCCACTCAGTCAAGGTAGCCATGGAGCTGCCCAGCTCAGCTTCAAGGCAGAGATGAGTAGCTAGAGAACCCACAGAAATTGCAGAAGGCAGGCAGCTTGTGTGCCTGCTCTGAGCAGGTAGGAATGTGGTGGAGGACATGTCTGTGGGTTTGAGCTTGGCAGGACCTGTAAATGTTTATTGGGTAGTTGGGCAGAGAGCTAGGCTCCTCCCAGCATCTCTACCTAGTGCCTGGGCACTCCTCCTGACCTCACCCCCTTCTGCTGTCTCTCCTGTCTGACACCCCAGACCCCTGACTACCCCAGAGTTTAGAAGCTCAAGCAATGAGGAAATAGAGGCACCCACGCAGGGACTCAGTCCTGGCCCAGCCTGGCCCCGTACTCTCATTCTGTTTGGCTTTTCCAGTGTGTGTGTGTGTGGGGGGGTGGTAGTGTGATCCAAGGGACAATGTGACTCAGGGGCCAGTGCCAGACTCCTGAGTGGATAGCTGGAATGTCCCTTCTTCCCAAATCAGGTTCATGGGGAGCTGGTGGCGAGAGCCAGGAGCAGGGGTCCCCTCCTCGTGGGAACCTATCTCAGTGGGAGGCTGGTCAAGAGTTCAGGCTGCCTGTCTCCTGGTCCTATTTGCAGAAGACTCTGGACAAAGCAGGCCCTCAGTGACTCACCTCCATTTCCGGCCTTAGTCATTCACTAGCCCCATCCTCCCCTCCCTCCAACTATGGGTTTGGCATCGGAGGGCTGGCCAGGTCAGGGGAGGTGTCTGCAGCTTCAGAGTCTGGTAGGCGTGGGAATGAAGGGCCCCTTTCCCCACAGCTGAGGGGGTGGAGGAGGGGTGGGCTCAGCTGTGGTGGCCCTGTAGGTTTCCCTGACTGTCCTGCCCCACCGCATTGTTTCTCAGGATGAGAGAATTTAGAGGTTGCCCCGATGTGGGGATAGGGGTCTGAAGGTTTGATGAGTCTCTTGGCCTGGCACATGCTACCTTCCACCCCCTCCCCTTCCTGGCTACGGTGCAC